GCGGTATGGCTCCTCTTAAATTGTCGAAGCAGTAGCAGTCCGCTTTGTCCTTCGGCTTACTGGCCGTAGTTTACGTTATCTAAACAAAGGCCGCCCCGAGGCAAGCATGGGAGATGCTGTGTCGATGAAACGATTTTTTTGCCTCTAATAATTCAGTGGAGTTTGGTTCGGTTTACATCCTACATTCAGTGTTAATCTGGACTCTGAATCCACGTGGGCTGTGAAATGGGCCTCGGTTGGTTCCTCATGTCTATCTTCTTTGGACCGATTGGACTTAAATTACGGGGATGTAATAGCAAAAGTCTCGGTTTTACCCTTCCATCACATGTGAACACTCCGGCGATATGGGTGTTTAAAACTTAGCTGTCTTAGACTGTATTTTGTGCCAAAACGGAACTCAGCAGTATGAATTAAAGTGTTTGAGGGTGTTGTATTATCAGATATTTGGTTACTATAAAGAGGAACTCGTTGTCAGAGGGATACATAATCTGAGGACCGAGAATGTTGATACTGTTTTTTTCTCTCTGTACTTAAAAAAGGATCTAAATATAAAGAACATGCCACCGATTATACAACACCCAACCTTGCAGACAGTATACAGAATCAGGAGAAAAACGGATGCAAGAACAGATATCATGAAGGCTAGAAACACCGAGAACCAGTCAAAACACCCCCACTCAACAAAGTACCAGAACTCAAACCATGTATCTCCCAAAGAGAGCTTATAGAATACAACCTTGTAGTTTGAGTTTTATTCAGGTGTCAGTTGTACATATACCAACCAATATTAACAACTCGCTACGTTACCAGATAGCTAATCACCATAATCAACCTGATATCAAACATCCATCTCATAACACAACAACAGCAGCGAGATTGACTGTACAACTGTTTACAATTACCTTTAACATTGCACACATACGCAGGACCTCGGTATCCTACGTTAATCCCCCAGACCGGGGTTCACGTTACTTGGTACAGTACTCCAAGGGTCCCCAGCTCCACCCTCAGGGCCAACAGGTCCACACCGGGCAACAGGTCGCACGCGGGACAGCTCCCAACCCGGGAACAGCTCCACACGCGGGAAGCAGCTCCACCGGGGAACCAGGTCAGCCGGAAAGGAACAGGTCCACCGGGAACAGCTCGGACTGTCCAACAACCTGACAGCAGCTTTCAGGGGAAAGATGGCGACCCGAGTCCTTCAGAGAGTGGGCAGAGGCTTTAAAGAGACGAGAAATGGGCTCCAGGTCACGGTTGTCGTCAGGTTAGAGGTTTGCTTGTTGAATTTGCCAGCGGCGACGCACAAAAGCGACTTTAACGCGTTTATTTCCCCGTAAAGTTGAGAGCAATGACAAAGTGCGGTGTGCTATGTGGCTAAGCTAACGTACACATCTCTGTATAACTTTAGCTTCCTGCTATTGCTAATGATCACCCTGCCGAATTACAAAGTGGTTGTGCCACTTGTGTTTGCACTCATCGACGCACACTTCATAATGTCGTGTGTAGAGTTGTAGTCGACATGAGCTTAAATAATGCAAAATCTCAACGGAGTTTCTGTCAGTGCCAAAAACTGTGTTCAACTTCAAGGTCAACATTGTTGTTTTGATTAGTGGATGACACAGTTGCTTGCTGCTGTAAGTGTGTGTGTGTCAAGCTGTGATGTTAATGTGTTTGCTCCTGCAATGCTGTGATGTATCATGTATATAAAGTTTATCTACAATGTGAGAGTTTCTGAGTGCACATATTAAAATGATAGTTGTGTTTGCACCAGCTGGCAAACTGTCAAGAGGACTGCTTCCTCATAAACAACTGTAACCAGTGCATGGAGGGCTTGTTGTCACTTTTAAATTGAGTTAAAAATGAAATGCTACTCATGAGGGAAGGCTGCCTATGAGTCCATGTGGACTAATCCTCTGATTATGTGCAGTATGTACAGCTTACAGCCTTCTCTGCTGCTTACCCTGAGCTGGATAGTATACAATGAAACCTTGTGCATTTACCTCAGTCTTACTCAGATGTGCAAGGCAGTTTTTATTTATATGCACAGTTCATCACAAGTAAACTCACTTATTCTGGATGTATTAGGCTGATATCAGGGACATTAGAGAGATTTAAAAACCCTCAATTAGACACAGTTTCTAAATGACTTCAAACTAATAATTGGTATTTACATACTAACAGATCTTGTTAGAAATCAATTCAGATTTATCTGTAATAAGCTAATAATTGCTGATGTGTCAATCTAGCTCTATACAAAACAATATAATAAACTACAAAATGATGCAACATTAGCAACAGAAAAAGGAATATAATAGAAAATACACCCATTCAGCAAAAGGCAGTAAAAGACCCCAGACATGTAGTAACTAGTCATAACTCACAGAAAGTGAGACTCTCAGAACTACAGACGAGTACAGGCAACACAACTGTACGCTGCACTTGTTGCTCAGCTTTTTCTGTTGTTAGTCTCGTATTTCTCCATTGTGTTGCAGAAGAAGAGCCGGTTGTATCCAACCTTTGTGTTTTGTTTCACCACAGGAGCCTCTCAGCTTTCCGTGAAGACAGCTGGTTCAAGTCTCTGTTTGTTAGAAAGGTAGACCCCCGAAAAGACGCTCACTCTCATCTACTCGCCAAGAAGGAAGACAACAACCTGTACAAAATACAGTGTATGTGTTTTTTGTGACTTGCTGTGAGTGTTGTGGTGGCGCATTGAAATGATCTTTTCTCTTCTGTAATGATATTTAGATTTTAAATCTATTAGCTGTTGTGTTATCCGCTCATGTTTTATCGTCTCCTTGCAGTTCATAATGTCAAGCCCGAGTGCCTTGATGCTTACAATGAACTTTGGTAAGATGTCCGTCTTCCTTCATTGACTTCATCCAGGTGCCTTGTCAAGTTGCAGTGCAGATCTTTTGCTCTTTTACACATTTGTCTGTGTTTATCTTTAGTGAGGGGGTCTTGCCTTCCATTCACGCTGACCCCGAATACCCTTGTGAGCTTGTGGGCACCTGGAACACGTGGTACGGGGAGCAGGATCAAGCAGGTAACAGCAGGGTTTCATGTGCAAGTGATAAAGCTACTTGTGAATGGCATTTCACAGATTGGTTGTTGGCCCATTCAATCCAGTAGTCTAAATATCACATAAACTTCCTTTTCAGAAAACACAGACAATATAGTAGTGCTCAAAGGATCAATTGATGAATGAATTGACAATAATCTGTCATGTATATGAGGGATTTAACAAGCAAAAATGCTATTCTTCTTTCTACTCGGTGTTAATGTACATTAAATATTTCTGGGGCTTGAGGTGAAGAGTTTAAAGCTCAGGGAAGCGTTGTTATACACTAAAACATTAATAGATTTGGTTGGAAAAAACTAATTGTCAGATTTATTGATAATAAAATATTTGTTAGTTGCAGCCATACGTGATACTTTCCTCCTGGTTGAGATTGAGGTTTTATGAGACAATTACATACATCAGGGGAAATAGGATAATATTTACAATCATTTTATATTAAATAAAAGTTTAACGGCATTAAAACACAGACAAATAATTCACCCTGAAAATGTATCTTATTATCTGATTCAGTTTGCTGCTGCTGATGGGAAACTGAGGGTTAGAAGATTTTTTAAGTTTATTTCTTCATGTTTGACTCTTAAGAATGTAAAGTGACATTTCATAATATATATTAATAATAATGTTATTATATATATATTATAATAATATTGCCAATTTTCTCCCCTCTCCAGCTACACAAACCAGAGCTTTCATATTGTGGTTAATTATAGCCGTGACTGTATTGCACTTTTCCTGGCTGCGGTCCAGTTTCTCCTTGTGGTGACATTTGTCGTTCCTCAGTCGTAATCCGCCTCTGATGTTACAGCGCAGTGATATTGGCTGCCTCAGTAAAGATAATCTAAAAGGCTGCATGAATAAAATCTATTCACAACGTGTGCACTAGGAAACAACATGCTCTGAGAGATTTTGTTTCATACTGTAGAGAGATATCTGTTTTTGTGGTCAGTCCTGTAAATGTACTTTTCATAATTGATTTCTTTATTCAGTTGTTCATTTTTCATCTTGATCACTGGATTTAGCGTATTATTTTCCGGCATTGTGGTGGGGTTTGTTCGCACTGATCAGGTTTAGCTGATACTATCTCTTGTCTAGTAGCAGTAAATGCTTTTTCTACTTGGTGGGAAGAACTTTGGAATTGACAAATTTTTATGAAATTATGTTAATATTTTATAACAAGTTTTTCAGCCAGAAACTCACATTTTACCAGATGTAATTGAAGTGGTAAGATGATGTGATTTTGGAAATTGATTAGAGATCCATGGTTGATACACTGGATCTCATGTCAGCTTAGATCACAGGTGCTCTATATAGATTAATAATTCAATAATTAAACTACAGCTGTTAATGTAAAAATATATCTCTAACCAAAGAAACCGAGATATATTCGAGAGCTGCATTATTTTTGGCTCTTCTGCTCCTTCTATTCTAGTTCACCTGTGGAGATATCGGGGAGGATACCCGGCTCTCACCGAAGTCATGAACAAACTCAGACAGAATAAGGTAACGGGTGCTCGGATTAGTTTACCGGCAGTTTGTGACCTGTAGGAGCAGTGTCAGGCAGTGCACCCCTCAAATTAGATCCACAAACCATTTTTCCACTCATGTGTCTCCATCTCTATGTGTGATTTTCCAGATGTTTGGTGTGATTTTTGTGCAATTATTATTTACAGAAATGCAATTTTATACTATAAATGAGGTAAATTCGCGCAATTCTGGTCTTATCCATATTCATGTTTTAATCTTCAGATGTTTGTTTTTAGCTAGAAAGTTTGTCTGAAGTTTGAAAAAGAAGAATGACATAAGTACAATGTAGATACATTTTTGGTGTCGTGCCCACATTGACACTAAATTATTTAAAATTCAAATAGTACAATTATTATTAAATACAATTTCAAATTGCGCATTCACATAAATTTTATGCGATTGAGTAACCCAGATTACTCAAGATCTTAAAAAATAATAAAGACTAAAGAGTTTATTAACATGTATTCCAACAAAACATCAGTGTTTTCTATCTCTGTCTTCCACTGTCACAGTTCCTTACTAAACTTCGTCATGACAACAGGTGATTTGTTGTTCCAGGTGTAGAAAATGGTGATGTACCTAAATGGTCTGATCACAGCTGATGTGTTGAAACCAATCTAACTGACTTTACTGACTTCATCTATACTCCTATCTGACCAGAGTATTAATATTTTTACATAATGTATTTAAGAATCTGTGGGTCGAGCCAGATTTACTGAGTGATGTGAGACTGTTGTTTGTCGTTGCTGTAGGAGTTTATGAACTACAGGAACGAGAGGGGGAAGATGCTGCTGTCTCGTAGGAACCAGCTTCTGCTGGAGTTCAGTTTCTGGAACGAACCCGTCCCTCGTCCTGGACCCAACATCTATGAGCTCCGATCGTACCAACTCAGGGTAACACCATCTCATACATAGTAAATTCACTAGCTTCCTCCCATTAAGTATAAATATATGTTTTCTCTGTTGCTGTAGTGAACAGTCAGACAACTTAATTTACACATCTCTCTCCTCTTTACATTCCTATTTCAGCCAGGGACGATGATCGAGTGGGGAAATTACTGGTAACGCATAACTTTCTTAATCTTTCTCCTTTTCTTTTTTTTTATATGTAGTATCAGAAAGCTGTCATATTGGATTCATTTAACTAATGTGCAGATCTCGTACACTTTCTCGCAGAGATACTTTTATGTACCATTTTAAAATTTCCTCACTACTATTTTATTGGTTTTACAGATTGTGGCAGATGAAAATGAGTCAACGGTACTTTTTGGCTAGACAATCTGTGCATGACTCCTAAGCAAGACTCGATATATTACACATAATTTGTAAATTTCAAATATAATTGACCTATTCCCCCTGTATTTAATGTACTTACTAGGGCTGCACACAAAAACTCAATGACTCGAATCATCAGTCGAGAAAACCCTGAGTCAACTCGTATTTTGTCAGTTGAATCTCTGCATGTTTTTTAGCTGCGTCATTGCACACAGAGCAATGCAGAAGCAACTTTATAAACCAAGTCTCAACTATCACCCGTCTCCGCTTTCATCACAGTTAGTTTTGTGGTTTGTGATAACTTTAACAGACAGCGTGAGGCAGGGCGGCACAGCTCCAGTCTGATGGCTGCTGCAGTGGTGACTGTCAGCAAAGTCAGCTAAGCAACTTTTGAACCAGACGGAGGTACGACCTCCTCTGCTGCCCTCCACTGTGATTGACTCTTGGGCTGACAGCGCTGCAGCACCCTGGCAGGAGAGACACTGTGTATTGCTAATGGAGCTATGAGCAGAACACACACTTTTTTGGTCTCTGATTGTGTTAAAGTCGGATGCTTTCACATCACAGATGCCGAAGAGAGGCATTAAAACGTGAGGCAGGCTAACAGCCGAATCTGATTCAACTGACAAAAGTCTGAGCCGGGTACAGCCCTATGTATGTATCTATCTGATTAAATTGATAATGACTGGGAAATTTGCCTGAAGTTTAAAACAATCTTGAGGTTGTGACATCAAAATCTGATTTGAACGATATAATTGTGGTGTTGATAAATGTCAATATCATAAATCATAATTGTGCTGGTGGTTAAATCGGTACAATTACCCTTTAATAACAAGCCTTTTTTTTTCATGTAACATAACTCTTTGGTGCTCCGCAGGGCGCGTGCTATTGAGATTCGCCAGCAGAACCAAGAGTCAGTGGGAGGATTTTTCTCCCAGATTGGAAGTCTGTACACGGTTCACCACTTATGGGGTGAGCAGTGTTTAATAAACTGTGCAGCATTGTATGTGTGTGTGATATTTCTAGAGGAAAAAATACATACACAAGTTAGATTATAGAATATTTATCCCATATTAGGGATGTTTACAAATGTATGACTGTTTTGTAAATAATTAAACAGCAGTACTTAACAGTTCACTACAGTAAGTGCATCTTTGATGTCTATTCAGGAACTATATTACTTACTCTTCAGGTCAAGGAATTGATTGAAATCTATAACATAATAAAAAAAAATCAAAATCTAACACTTTTCTTAGTAAATATATATATTATTTTCTTTTTTTCCCTTCCAGCTTACAAAGACCTTCAGTCCAGAGAAAACATTAGAAATGCAGCCTGGCAGCGTGATGGCTGGGACCAGATTGTTTATTACACTGGTAAGTCTTATCTCTTATCTCTCCTCTCTTTACCTTTCTGGTGATATAATGTAATTAGTCTAATCTGCGTATGTCTGTAATCTGTGTTTGCGTTCACGTCATTACACATAGTGATGCATCCTTGAATTAAAAATAATTCAGACACATTCACATTGTAAGGAAGAACTGTGAAAACTTGTGTCCTATCACTGCGCTGTCAGTTTAAATGCTTGGACATACACGCACACATACATGGGTTGCACAGTTAAACACGAAGATCCAAATCTTTCCAACAATTTATTAGTGGTAATTAAGGGTTGAAGAGCTTTTTCTGCAGGAAAATGAAATATTATAAATACATCATTACAAATTAGAACTCTGAATTAAGGCCATTATTATTAAGTTTGGCTTTTAGGTCTTCAGGCCTCACTAATGGGATTCTAATATGATCCCAACACAAAAAATCCATTAAAAATAAATTTATAAAATGTAAATTAAATAAGATTATATGGATGAAAACTCAATTATATGATTTGTCCGGGTTGCTACAGAACATGTAAACGCTTTGTCTGATTATCTGCGTAACCTGATTGCTTCTGGTAACGCGGTGTGTTGTGTGTGTGTGTGTTAGTCTCTGTCTGTGTGTGTGTGTGTGTGTGTGTGTGTGTGTTGCAAACAATACTGCATGACACAAATCTGCCACTGTTGTTTCTTCCCCGTTCCACAGTCCCTCTTATTCAGCACATGGAATCTAGAATAATGATTCCCATGAAGACTTCGCCCTTGAAGTAACCACAAACACCGAGGGGGAGCCTCTTAACAGCCACCGCAACCATCACACTGATCTGTAGAGAGTGTTACCAACCCTCAGAGTGTCCACTGCCATGAATATCTGGATAACAGCAACATCGTGTTCCAGTTTCTGTTTTTTTTGTTTTGTTTCTTTACTCCGGTTTTCTGTGTGGGCCTAGAATGTCTTATTTCAGATAATGAGGTTAAAATGATTCATCACCAAACTGTATCTGTTACAGCAGACTGTGTTACTGATCCATTAATGCGCCGTGTGTAGACGAAATATAATTTAAAACTCCTCCTCTTCACTCTCCATGATTTAAAGGGTCAGATTAAAAATGGCGTCTTATTTTTAATGACGAGATAAAAACTGCTTTCATTGGCATCACAAGTGTTCAGATATGAAGAGAGGTTAATCAAACATTTAATAGTTCTAGTGCTGGTCACAGGCTGAAAATGTCTTTTCATAAAAATGTGTTTCAAAAGAAAAGTTCTTGTGACTCGTAAGCCCTGTTATACTAGCACTGATAACTAATCAAACAAAAAACAACTGCTTCCAGGGTCTGACAACAAAAACACGCCGTCCAGAGCTCACAGTTCACTACTAATATGAACTGGAAAAGCTTTAAATGTTACAGATGATGGTTAGTTTTAGAGGAGCATGCTGTTTACAAATCAGAGATAGCGGCCTGTGTTGTAGAGCGGACTCTAGCTTTATGTTCAGTAGAAGTTCACCAGGTACACACTCCAACAGAAAATGTGACTTTATGTTTACATGGCTTTGATCCAGCCAGCCGGTTATGGTTTATACCAGTAATTCGTTTCAAGATGAGTGACATGGATGGATGAAAAGATTCATAATGACACTGTTATGAAGACACACAAAAATTGAAGTTCACAAGAGTGTCGGACTTGTCAGAACAGCAAGCTAGACTTTGATTTAGAACACAGTCTTTTTTTTAATTCTGTCCTGGATTCATGAATGTAGTGTCCGGTTCTTGCTGTGAAGATGTGCTGAATGTCCTGAAGGAGTCATGTCTCCTCTTTTAAACTGACCACAAACTCCAGATTATTTTCTAATTTAGACATCATGACACTTCTGGTTCTTCAAGCTGTGAGGAGGGGGACAAGTTGATTCAAATGATTAGAAGTTATTGTTGATTGTTGACAACTAATCAGTATCTACACACTGCTGTACAACGACTGGTTTAGCCTATCCCTCTATCGAGCAATTAATGCCAACCAGGTGATTGTGTGCTATAACTGAGATAAATAGGGTTTTCTTTTTTTTCTTTAATGGTCAGATTGTAGATATACATAGTGGGGCTTATTGACCGAGCAGGAGATATGGTCAATCCTGTGTCTGTAAATGAAGTGGGGTACTCCTAACTATTTTATGTGGATAAATAAGTGGACAGGAGGAGGAGTAATTTCTCAATGTGGTAAATGCGAATTGCAGTGCTTTAATAAAACTAGTTGTACAGATTAAATTAAACTTCTGATGAAAATGGGAAACAGATATTGGACTCCATTTTATCATGTATTGTTGATGCTTGTTCTTCATTGCAAACACCCGTTTCTCTTGCAGGACTGAAGAAGAATGTGTTTTATGCTCACTTGATTGCATTAGAATAAATAAGGGGAATATTTCACACACTAAATACACAAAGAAGAACGTTTTCTGCTGGTAGTTTTCCTGACTTAAAATAGTAGTAAGTTAATAACACATCCATGTCCACCCCAGCAGTGCTGTTATTTCCATATTAGACACTGAAATGTGACGTATCTTGCCCAATCAGCGCGTCGTCTAGGGTGTGACCTACGCTGCCTTCAATGTATGTCGGAGATCCTAACACCTGACAACCGCGACGAGGTGGTGGTCACTGCAGAAATTGTGTTTTCCAGTTGTTTATAATTAAGGATGGTTTTATGCTTCCCCTAGTACCTATTGAAAATCCAGAAAATCTTGTGCTGTCATGATGTATAAAATAAAACAGCAAACTGTGCTTTAATATTCAGCACATATATCAACAATTGTCTGAGTAGACACATTGCTAATTGCAGTCTCTTAATGTAATGTTAAATTCATGCATCTTTTTGGAGGAGTCTCCCATACTGATGCAATCGCCTGTAAGTGACTCGCTATTCATTTCGCGTTAATGTGAACGGGTAGTTTCGAAGCCCTCTGAAAATCCGAATGTCCGAGCCCAAACTCGCTACGTAAACGCACCACGAGAACACGTGTTGGAGCCTTCTGGAAACCGACTCTCCTTTCCAGCCCGAGCAGTCCGCACTCTCTACCGGCGGTACTTTTTACTTTGACTTCGCTGGTTGTGCTGCTTCGCCATGTCCGCGGTGAAAGCTCTGAACCCGAAAGCAGAGGTGGCCCGGGCCCAGGCCGCCCTGGCGGTCAACATCAGTGCCGCCCGGGGGCTTCAGGACGTGCTGAAGAGCAACCTGGGACCGAAGGGGACCATGAAGATGTGAGTGACGCACGAGCTCTTTGTGCAGCACGCGTGCTAAGCTATCGTTGCTAAGTAGCTACCGTTGCTAAGTAGCTACCGTTAGTTTGCCCCCTTTTATAGACAGCCTACCGACGCGTGATTTTTGCATTTATTTTAAACCTGGGGAGCCTCCTCCTGCCTCCTGTGTGTTACTTCGCCACAGAAAGTACTGAATCGTAGTTTAGGCCTCCACTTGATGAGCGGATGACGGGTTTTCCCGGCGCACGTTGCCCTGCCCCGTCATCGTCACGACCCGATGACAACTGATGCTAACGGTAGCATGTTAGCGTCAGTTGGTTAGCACAGAATGCTAACGCTAACCAACCGCCACTCAGAGTGACAAAGTTTTCTGTTCACATATCTTTTATTTTTTGTTATTGTAATGAATATAGTGGGGCTAATAGGTGGGTGAGTGTCTGGATCGCTGATAACAGAGTTAAAGTTAATAATTATTTAGCGCCAGGAGGATTATTTCAGGAAGTTGGGGCAGATATATGAAACAAAACACTCGTTTATGTTCAAAGCATTGCTGCACTGACTTTAAACTTTCTGTACCACCAGTATATAATCCGGCTGTAGCTTGTAGTAACCAGCCCTTTGCTCCGTCCAGTTAACATGAACCCTTCCCTGTGTGTTGTGGGTCTGCAGGCTGGTGTCTGGTGCAGGAGACATCAAGCTGACCAAAGATGGAAACGTCTTGTTACACGAGATGGTAAGGAAGCGGTGAGCTGTGAAACTGCACTTTGTGTCCAGCTGTGTTGTCCTCATTACTCTGCCTCCTCCACTGTCAAAGACTGACCACACCCCTAATGTATGTGGATGCCTTTTAAGTGAATACGAGTAACATATTCCCAGTTACAAGGATGATCTAACTACCTGATAGGACTGGGAATCAAAGCTCGATACCTGATCGATACTGATTGATCGTATTGAGTGATCCGGTCCCGACGGCTGGTTCTGAATACCTGAACAGGATTATATCGATTTGATGCATCTGCTAATCCTGGACTGTTATTTTTTTGCTGCTTGTGTTTTTATTGTGATTTATTATTTGTGAAATAAAATGAGTTTGTGTTTAACATGTTAATTTATATATATATATATCAAATAGGGCACTGCTGATTGATTACGCATAGATCAGTGCTAAATCTTTAAATTAAAGTCTCAGTCTTTAATCGGTATTACATGTGCAGAGGATTTCTTTGTGTTAAAGTAGAGTAGCTCTCACTGGAGTCAAAATCAGGTTTAATGTCAAGTAGGTTTTCACATACGAAGAATTTGCCTTGTTATATTGGTGCATAACAGCAAACATAGCTCGAGGAAAATATAAAGATGAATGTGGGTGAAACTGCAGTGAATAAGCATAAATTGACAACACGACGAAGGAAAGAAATGTGAAGACAATAATAAAGAGAGGCTTTATGTTTCTTTCTCCACTCTTCATCAGTGAAAGCACAAGTGGACGTTGAGTTCAGTTTGTATTGTTTTACAGCGGAGGAACATGTTCTTCTGTAGAGTAACTAGAGTTGATCATCTCAAATTAACATGCAACTAGTTTGATCATTGAGTGTAATTGATAAGTGTCTCACATATGATAGTTAACTGAATGTTCTTTAGGGTTTGGACTTTTGGTCAGGCAAAATGAGACATTTGAAGACGTTAACTCTGTGACGTCGTGTTTAAACCAAATAATTAATTAAAATATTCATGAAAATGAATCATAAGCTGCAGCTCTGTTGTTCTTCGTCTGTGACGGGGTTTTTACATAACCACCGTGATCAGTGGCCTTTTATGTTGCACTGATATCTCGCCTTTTGTTCCTTTTCAGCAAATTCAGCACCCGACAGCGTCACTCATCGCAAAGGTTGCCACGGCGCAGGATGACATCACAGGAGACGGTACCACCTCCAACGTCCTCATCATCGGTGAACTGCTGAAGCAGGCGGACCTCTACGTGTCAGAGGTAAAAGAGAAACGCTGCTCTGCTCTTTCATCAGCGCTATGAGGGGCGGCGGTGTTTGGAACGGGTTATATTTTCCTTCTGTGACTTTTCTTTTGATTCCGCGCCGCAGGGTCTTCATCCAAGAATCATTGCTGAGGGCTTTGAGGCGGCGAAGGAGAAAGCCTTGGCGGCTCTGGAGGATGTGAAAGTGACCCGGGAAATGGACAGAGAGACCCTCATCAACGTAGCACGCACCTCTCTGAGGACCAAGGTCCACAAAGAGCTGGCAGACCTGCTCACTGAGGTGAGACGTGTGCGAACGCAGCTCAGTGCGAGTCTTTGGCACCGGACAATGATCGTTCTCTTGGTTATAGTTACTCCTAGACTCTTTTATCCCTTTGGCTGTAAAATATCTAATAATCTATCACTCGCTGATGAGCTACAATATCAGTCAGATCATTCCAGACGAGCAGTTCTTTGTCCTTTGTGAAGATGTGGATATTAGCTGAGAGTTGGTGCTGGTTGCAGATAGTTAGGACGTGCAGAAGTTTAATATTTCAGATTTTTGTCAGTGGTTAATGTGACGTGTTTGTGTGCAGGCTGTAGTAGATGCTGTGCTGGCAATCGCCAAACCCAATGAGCCAATCGACCTGTACATGGTGGAAATCATGGAGATGAAGCATAAGACCGACTGCGATACACAGTGAGTCGTAACAAAATCTGAAGACTTGGAGCAAGCGACATTTCATCACTTTACTGATGCTGCTGCAGGAGTGTATTTAAGTGTTCTTTCTTTTTAATGTCTCAGACTGATCAGAGGTCTGGTGTTGGACCACGGTGCTCGACACCCAGACATGAAGAAGAGGGTGGAGGATGCCTACGTGCTGACCTGCAACATATCTTTGGAGTACGAAAAGACAGAGGTTAACTCTGGCTTCTTCTACAAGAGCGCAGGGGAGAGGGAGAAGCTTGTGGCTGCAGAGAGGAAGTTCATTGAGGATCGAGTGCAGAAGATCATCGCCTTGAAGAACAAAGTGTCGCCCAACGGGGAGAAGGGCTTTGTTGTCATTAACCAGAAGGTAAGTTTGAAAATGAGTCGTAGAGTATTGGTATTTAACTGCAAGACACTTCTAACTGGGAGTAGCTCATTTAAAGTGTTAAATGTTATGTCTAAAATACTGCTTAATAAAGCTTTAAATGTATTTGACACAATATTATCTCAGGACCCGTTGCCTCTCGTAGGTACACAAGTTACAGGTCAAGTCACATATCATTTTAAGACATTTTTAACTTCTACAGGAACACTGAGCATTTTGTGATTGTCAACATGTTTAAGTGAAAATAAATGCCTCATCCACACTGTTAATGCACAGTGAACACCCGAGGATGCTAACGTAGCTCCCCCTGGTCTCTTGTGTCTGTGCTACAGTAAACCTGATCTGTACCTCTGCATTAGGAGAGTCCGCTCCTCACTTACATGTATTCAACAGATCAGAATAAACTTTACATCACTGAAACTGAAAACGGTGAACTATTTATTGAATTGATGATGAATGGATTCATGTTTTCTCTTTATTAGGGTATTGACCCGTTATCTCTAGATGCCCTCGCCAAGGAAGGCATTGTAGCCCTGCGCAGGGCGAAGAGGAGGAACATGGAGAGGTGAGAAAACAGATTACAAATAAGAGTGCCCTTTTCTGGAAATGTAGTTTCCCCGTCTGTTAGGGTGAACGTGAATTTTATTTTTTTAGAAGAAGGAAAATTTGGCAAGAAGGGTTCAAGACAACCAACACATTATTTCTTCTTTTGTAAAATGTA